CAACGAGGGAGAGTTCCCCTGCGAAAATGTTCATCCACACATCACCATCGCGAACGCGCCGGGTGTTCCGCCTGTGTACAGCAACGAGCTGCTGGACGATTCCCATGCGGATGACCCGTGCCGCACCGTCGTCAGTCTCCCCGCCGGCACACGCGTCACCGGGACATTTGTCTTCAGGTAGCCGTGAGGGACACTGCGGTGCTCGCCGCTGGCTGCAGTGGCATCCTCTGCCACCCCATGCTGGGCTCGTGGGTGCTGGTGGCCGTGGTGGTGTAAGCACCTGCTTTGTGACTGCATCGCCGAGTGTAGTGCATGACGTTCCCACACTCCCGTGGCGACCCCGCTTCCCACATTCAGTATTGTGATGGTTCTATGGACTTCCGCTGTTGTTTTCTAGGAGCCTGTGGAGGGGATGATCGCGAGGAGGGCTGGCTATTTAAATTAATATGTATTTTGATAAAACGAATACACTTTTTTACGACACTTTTATACCGCATGATTTTTGGCATGACCACGGCTGCAGGGGATTAGGGAACCGATAGCCGCCAGATAATTTTGTAAATTTAATTTTACCATCTCACCCACTCTCTTTTGATTCCCACATTGCGGTGGGGTCCTGTGGCTGGAGAGCCCCAAGGTTTGACACTTCGTAAGTTATTAATATATATATGTATGTATATATGTATCCAATCCGAATAGAGCGCAGCATGTCACGAGAGTGGCTATCGGAATACATATGTGTACATATACTTACTTGGGGCAAAGCTTGAGGGTGTGGTGAGCCCACTGCTTTTTCACTTACCCCTCTTCCTACTGTATTGCTTGATTTTCGTAAATAACTTTACGATCCGGTGAATCGCCCCAGGCGAATGTTTGCTTCTGTTTGCTCTTACCTCCCTCTGGTGCGAATCGGCCTGCCTCTTTGATTGGACGTCTTCCCTATGCCCCAAGCAAGGTGACACATGTTTTATTATTGCGGCTGCGCGCCGCAGCCATCCATCGCTTCCTTCGCCGGCGGTGTCTTTGATTGCTGGTTTGCGTGGCGTGGTGTTAATTTGTGCGACTGCTCGTGTGACTCACTCGTGTTGCGGGATGGCTTTGCGGGAGGAGCTCGTTCATTTTCACGTTGCCGCGTAACCGAGGGTGAGTGCTGGTAGCCACTGAACGGCGTTGCGCCTTGTGTGCCGGCTGCTGTGCTTCCACGTTGTGCTGAGATGCTTGAGGGGGCAATTGTTTTTTGTTTTTTCTTTTTGTTTGCATCCCACTCGTCTGGTCATTGCGGCTGCAACGAGACTCTACGGCAGCCTGATCGTTGCGGGCGTTGCATCTCCTGCTGTTGTCTCCTCGTTGTGTCGGTGGGGAGGAAGCGGGCGACGGCGTCGGTGGAGTGGCGCTGCGGTGGGAGAAGGAAGGCACTGACCGCCGCTGACGGCGACCGTCTTTGCTGCCGGCGACCTGACGAGATGACCTCACCGTTGTCACACCCAACCGGGACCGATGCGGGCCGCACCGCCTCTCTCTTCCCTCCCTCCATCCCCCAGTCTCCTGCAGACACACGAACTGCGCGGCGGCGGCGTGATTACAAACCGGACGTCTGAAGGCCAACCGACCGCAGAGTCGATGTGGACCCTTGTCCCCCGTGGCTGAGTGCCGCCACCGTGCTTCTTTGTTCCTCACTTTTGCCCTTGTGCATGCCGTGCGCGCATGATGCCGCTTTTTGTTCTGCAATGCCGACCCACGTGAGCGAGAAACGACGCCTTGACTACTGGCAACTGACGCACTCACCACCCCACTTCCGCGCCACCACCACCACGTTCACGGACGCGCTCGATGGCTGGCGGTTGCAACAATGCCACGTGTATCTGCCTCGGCTTTTGCGTGTTGTCCACGGCATCGGGGTCGTCATGTGTTGGAGGCATTTGGCGAGGAGGGCGGTGCCAATGGTCATGTGCCTCTTGGCCGGGGTCCCGCCGCTCTGCACGGCGGTTGTGCGGCGCTGCGCGGGCGGTGGGAAGCCGATGGCATCACTGGGCTGACTGCGTCTGCGCGTCTTTTTGTCGCTGGCTGTGATGTGGAATATATGTGGCCGGGTGCCGCTGCATGCTACTGTGTCTGGCTACTGTTGCTGCTGCCTCTTCCTTGTTTTACCGTGCAGATAGAGATACTGTGGCTTGACCACCACAACTAGTGTTTCAAGGTTTTAGTAATTACTCGCAGCAGTTGTAGTATTATTAGTAGAAGTAGCAGTGGGATAACGACCTGGCGGAATCGGGTCACTGTATTTGGCATCTGTAGGAAGGGATTTGCGGAGCAGGAGGCACGGTCGACGAGACGAGTGCGACACACCACGACAGCCCTGTTGATACCTGGTTGGGTTGGTGGATGTGGTCTGCGGTGGGTGCGTGTCCGCGCAGCCGGCACCGCGTGCGGCGCAGGGCCATTGCGACTGTGCGTGTGGCGCTGCTTGTTCTGTTGGCGCTGGTTGCGGCGTGGATGCCCGCGGTGCATGCGGTGCCGTTGCGACTGCGGGGCGGCACGGTGGAGAGAGCCATCACGGTTGGCCGCGCCGTGGACACGGTGCTGATGGACGGCGTGTACGTCACGAACGGCGTGGCTGTGGTGTTCGACGTTGCGGCGATGCTTCCCGGCGCGCTGCGCATCGAACTGAGGAACTGCGTGTGCGACGGCGGTGCGCAGATCTACGTGCGGGGCTACAGCGGCGAGCCGGCGAGTGACCGGAGCCTGGAGGTGAGCGTGAGCGGGCTGTCGGGGAGCTACTGCTCGCTCGTGTTTGTGCACAACCTGCCGGCACGCACGAACGTGACGGTCCGTGACTCGACGATTGTGACGGCGGGACCGATGCGCTACTCGCAGCTGAGCGGGCTGACGGACGCGGTGGCGTCGCCGCTTGTGCTGCACGCGACGTCGCTGTTGCAGACGCAGCTGCGTGTGAGCAGCACTGTGCTGAGGTCGTCGCAGGCGGGCGGGACGGCGGTGTACGTTGGCGGCGGCGTGGACCTGCTGTCGAGCGCGATGGTGCTTGACGGCGTGTCGCTGGAGGCGTCGGGCGGTCCGAACGCGTCCGCGATGAATGTGTCATCCTCGTCACGTCTCAGTCTGCGGAGCCACTCGGTGTTCTCCGTGACGAACGTTTCGGTTGTGAGCAGCGGCGGCGGCATTGTGCTTGGCGAGCGCCTCGCGGTGTTTGATTCGGTGCTGCGCTTCGTGGGCGTCGAGGGGTCTGCTGCGTCGTCGCTGGTGCACTGCGACGGTGGAACGATCCATGCCGGCGGGTGGCTGGAGCTGCACGACGTGTGGGCGGTGGGCGAGGCGTCGTCTGTGGCGTCGCTGTCGGGTGTGACGCTGAGCGGCGGCGCCGTGTCTATTGCTCGCTGCGCTGCCACTGGTGCGACGCTTGCCGTCGGACCGACGATTGCGAGCGGCGCTGTGTCCGTGCAGTGCAACCGTGCGGGCGGCCGCGTGCTGCAGAGCAGCGGCGACTACCGCATGGCCGGCCTGTCCTCCGTGAGCGTGGTGCCGTGCGACGGCTGTGCGGCTGCGCTGGCGTGCTTCGATGCGCTGACGGCGTCGTTCTCCGAGTGCGTGTGCAGCTGCCGCGCTGGCGGTGTGGGCGACGCGTGCCTGCCGTCCGACGTGCCGCCTGCGAGGGCCGGCGGTGGTTCGCAGGACTGTGTGAGTGGCGTGACGCTGACGGAGTCCGTGACGGTTGGCGGCGGGCAGGCGACGGCGTGCTTCGACTCGGTGGTGTTCAGCGGACCGATCACTGTGGCGGTGGACTTGCGCTCGATGGATGCGTTCGCTGACGCGCTGAACGTGACGCTGCGCCACTGTGTGCTTGTGGGCGGCGCGCAGCTGCGGATTGGCGGCCTCAGCGAGAGCACAGCGCGCCTGATGCCCCACGCCCTCGTCAACATGACGAATGTGACGTCGATGGAGGGCACGATTGTGCTGCATGGCGCGATGCCGCCGAACTCGAGTGTGCTGCTGGCGAACTCAACGCTGCGTGCGACGGTTGGCGGGTCGCAGTACGTGCCGACGACCCCTGACCACGAGGAATCCCGGTACGGCCCCGCGCTTGTCCTGGACGGTGTCCGGCTTCTGTCGACGCGGTTTGTCATGACGCGGTCGGCTCTGATGTGTGGCGGGGGTTCGTGCGCTGCGATCCTTGTGGAGCACGGCCTTGGCGTGAACCTGACCAGCGTCTTCTACATGGACAACTGCGCTGTCAATTCGCAGACGCACGTGATGTACGCTCTTGCGTCGGACCTGCGTGTCAGCGGCGGCTCCGTGTTCTCCATACAGAACAACTCTTGGAGTGTGCCGAGCACCGAGTACTACAAAGGCGCGCTTGTGTTTGGGGACGTTGCGGTGGATGGCGGCAGCGTGCTGCAGGTTGTGTCCAGCGAGTTCCGTCTCGGCTTCGCCATGCTCATGGCAAACACGCTGACTGTGACTGGTGGCAGCTGGCTGGTGCACCGCGACAACGAGTTCCGCACCGCCTACGTTGTGTACGTGGACAAATACGACGGCGTGGCTTTCCGCGATCAGAGTGTGTGGTCAATACTTTACAACGACTTTGGTTACGGCTCCTATTCGTCGATCACTGCATACATGACAAGTTTTTGGTCACCACCATCCGACTCTCGCCCGATCATCTACGGCGTGTGCAACAAGGTAAAGAGATCTCCTGTGACCAATTACAGAAGCGAGCTCAATATTGGAGTACCCGTGACGGCATTGGACTGTGGCACGTGTACCGTGGGCGCCGTGTGCTTTGCTGCGAGGACGAGCAGCATCCGCGGCTGTGGGTGTGTGTGCGCTGCTGGCGGCCACGGTGACACGTGTCTGCCGGCTGCGGTTCCGGACGGCCTTGGGCCGCTCCCGCTCCCCGATGCGAAGGACACGGAGGTCCGCTGCGTTTACGGTGGCAGCATCAACTCCGTGGACTATCCTGATCCCGGTGTGCGTGGTCTGTGCTTCGTCAACGTGACCTTCACCGCCGCGATTCTGCTGGACCTGTCGTACTTTAACGCGCCTGAACAGACACTCAACATCACGCTGCTGCAGTGCGTCCTCATGGGCCTGTCGATCAGGGGGAGTGGTGCGCGCGTGCACGTGAACGTGACATCCTCGATGCTGGATTCTGGTGAGCTGGAGTTTGAGGGAGATTTTGGCGCGAGTTCCCAGATGCTGGTGGCGGGCAGTAAGCTTGTGACGAACTTGGGTTACGCCATTCACTTTCCAAGTTTTACTTTGGGTAAGAACACGACGCTGCTGCTGCTCGACAACAACATGGAGGGGGAGAGTTACGCAGTTTATTTCCCCGTTGCTGTTGTCGTTGATG